CGGGATGGGAAACATTTTCCAATAAAACAAGGTTTTGGCACTGAGATGCTAAGCTTCGTTAAGAGGGAAAAAAAAGAGTTACCAAAATGGTTTTGATGAGCAAAGCAAAGAATATTTTGGACTGTTAAAACATTTAACTATTTAAAATCCTAAATTCCTTAGGGAGACTGAATTTTTATTTGCGTTTTTTAACCATTTAAGTTTAACTGCTTAAAATCTATATAAGGTTCATTTACCCAGAAAAAACATCCTCCACGTTTCAATTACTAGGTGCATTTTTCTTAATTGCATTTGCATTTCTCTGAAACTTTCTCTCCTCCAATTCTTTCCACTTGCCTGCAAACCAAAGAATTCATTATTCATTCAGGTCTCTGACACGTTTCTTCTGGAGGGTAATTCCGAGCCACAAAATTCAAACCCAAGCTTCTGCTTACCCAAACTCAAGGCTTTTGATATCAAACTACCTCCAGCTTTGTTAAACAAGGACTCCTATCACACCATCAGTCTTTCAATAGAAATCCCCACTGAGCTCCACCGTCTTTGCTGCTGACACTTCACAGACATATGTTCATACCCATACACGTGTACGTACGGATGTACACACTATATATGCTTTTTTATCAACAGCCCAAGGTGACTCGGACTGGATGCTACGCCAAATAATTCAAACCCAGCTCCTTCTCAGAGCAGAAGTCTGCAATACTGGGCGGGGGGGGAAGTTCACAGCGGGCACCGGTGGTTTTGAAGAGTCTTTTTTTATTTCCTTTCCGGCTGCCATTCTAATGAACCTCATGGGGGGAAACCATGCCAGAGGAAGAGGCAAAATGAGGCTACTGAAGTCAAAGGAAGAAAATATAAGACTCTTTGACAAGACAGAAAATGAGGCACAATTAGGGAAGACTTATTGCCTGGAAAATGATAATGAACAGAAAATAACAATTTTTTTTTTCCTAGTGACATCTGCAAGGACCATGCACCAGGGTGTTAAATGCCAGCATTTCAGTCATGTTTTTACTTACTGCCAAAGGCTGAGCCTGCAGCTGCACCTGGAAAAAACAAGAAGAAGCCTGGTCACTGGAAGCAGGATGCCGTCGGCTCTGATACCAGCAGAAGATCAAACAGATACACGATGTGGGACTGAACGGCAATTCATTAGCGGGGGTCTTGCTCATAGGCTTATCAGTTTGCTGCAACATCTTAAAAGCTGCTTTTGTCAAACCACGGAGGTGACCAGACAGGGCTGTCTGAGGTCTTGGCATCTCAAGATTTTCACCTGGGGAAGAAAAACCAGCTTGGTCCTTGCTGGTGGGTTTTTCTGTTAACCATTTTCTTGACCTACCATTAAAGCCTTGGGACAAGCACAGCTTTTGAGGTTCACTCTGCTGAGTACAAACTGTAGGGTTTGAACTAGGTTGTTGCACCTAGGGCATTTCTCAGTGAGCAAGAAGGGTTGAACACCATTCCCCCTGCAGCACTTGCTCAACAGGACACTGCAAAGCCACCGGCTTCAAACCTGCCAGTTGAAGGCCATCCAAGGACCAGCTTCTGGCTTACGGCACCCAGGAGACTAACGGCCATGGTCATCTCTACTGTAACAAGCAGATGAACCATGGAAAGTCTCAGCTTTGCATGAACGTAAAGCACGGGACCAGCGATGGAAGGGGCAAGACCACCAAGAGGAGAGGACTTCAGAGAAATGCCTCTGTTGCAGAGGAAGAGGATGATGTTGATGGGAGAGGAGGAAGCAACAGAGAGACAGTGAGGGAGGGGGAGGAAGAAGACTGAGTGACAGATGGGAAGAGAGATGAATGGGAGAAGAAAGAGCAGAGGAGAAGGAGAAATAGGAAGAGACACAAGGAACGGAGGGGAGGGAAAGAAAGAGAACAGCATGTCTGTGCCTGTCAACACCAGAAACTCTCCCAGGCTCCTTTGAAGCAATGCAGCCGCTTGGTGGGAGCTGACAAGCTCGCTCCCTTTCAAAGAACCTGCTCGTCTACCAGCCCTGGCACACACAAAACATTCCCATCACGGCCTTCGGAGCCTGAATTTCAGCTTTGATCATCTTAAAGCACATAAATCTTTCAAAAAATTTGGGGGGAGGAAGGGAAAAGATCCTCTTTGGTAATGCTCAAAGCTGCTGCTTGAAAGGCTGGAGTGGCTACTGTGGCTCCATGACATTTAAAGAAGTCTGCTAATGTGGACTGGACAGAAACCCAGGAGAAACTGGCCCATCTGTGATGTTTCTTGTCCCAGTTCCCCTGCTTGAATGATGGTGGGTATGCATCTTTCATCTCATCTGCACGCCTTTGCTTCTGTCAGTGCCTTAATCCAGCAGGCAATTGGATGAGACTGGCGCTGCGCAGAGGGACCGCAGCTCACGGTGCTTGCCTCAAACGCCGACATACACAGAACAGGATCGAGAAAGCAACGAGCGCTCCCGCAGCTGAGCAGTGCCAACGCTCAGCCCATGGACTACCTGAACGCCAGTGTTGTACTGTGGCCAAATAGTGTCTTCTGCAAGGGACAGTGATTTGCATTGCTACAAAGCCGTGGACTTATATTTTGGCCCAAGGTCATCCTTCCTGTTCTCAACCAACATTTGGACTCATCACTCATCTACCAGTAGCCAACAAATCACCTTTGCATCCACCCAGATACTCTCTCGTTTCTCTGTGTACCAGGACCCAGGTAAATACCGGATTCCTTTTCGAAAGCTGAGCATCCTGCATTGATTCGAGATGGAGAAGGACAAGATGAGAATCCGCTCCCACCTGGGGGCATTGTGCAGCCCAAGGTGGGAGTGCGGCCAGGGCTGGCTCGCTGCAGGTTACTTACATGCGTTGGGGGACCCGTTGGGGAGAGGCAGATAGGATCCCGCTCGCCACGACCTGGAGCGAAAGTTCTTCTTGCACTTCCCGCAGTCCTGCCCCGTGGTGTTGTGCTCGCACTCGCACTGAAGGCTGCCCTCTTTGAAGGTGCACAGGTTAGCGTGGAGGTTGCATTTACACCTGGAAGAGGAAGACAGGAGAAGAGCTATCGGGTATTACTGCATCTCCCCCTTGCCCCTGGCGTAGTGCTGCCCATACGCATGAAAATGTAGCGGTGAAGCTGGGCCAGTTACCCCTTTCCTGTTCTTTCTGCAGGGTTTTTTCACTGAACTCATCTGTTTTCCCCAGGTAGCTGGTGCTGGGGTTACGATGTCCACGTCCTCACCCAAGGTGGATCTGCAGAGATCCAGGTGGATCCAGGTGGATCTCATCATTCCAAGGTGAGAGATACTTTACTCCCACCATCCAACTGCAGGAGCACAGATCGTTTAATGGTAAGTCAACGTCTCCAGCTGAGACTCCAGTAAGGACTCACATTTTTTTCAGAAATCTGAGTGATTACTTGGAGGCAGAGAGGACAGTCTTGAGCTTTAGATGGAGAAGCACAGCTAACGCTGGTGGGACTCAGCCCCTCGATCCCTGCGCAGTGTGCTAAAGGCAAGAGTGTTTTCTCCTGTGGTGTGAAGTTGCACAACACGACCTTTTCCCTAAGTGCAGCGCAGCCCCAGCCTGCTGTGACCAACATAACACAGAGAACGTCACCATCAGAATCTGCCTTTTAGTCCCTGCCTCATCAGAGAAGGCAACATCGAAAAACACTATTCAGCAATTTGCAAACATTAACAAACTTTTAATGAGCTGTAGTGCAGTATGCAGGGAATAATTATCTCCGTGCACAATAATTCCTGTTGTTCAGACTCCGGAGGTGACTTGCACAGAGCACGGAGGCTGAGTCCATAACTCACACGTGGCTCTACTGACTCCCTGGGCCCGAGCTCAGGCCATCAGACAGGGACTTTGGGGACCAAAATCTCGCATTTCATTCCAGAAAGTGGATCCTTAGCACAGCCCGCTGGGTTTTCACTGCTTTGTGCAATAATTTACACTCTCAGAAGCAGAACCAGTAGAAAACAGTAATGCTGTGCCTTATGCGAACGGGTGGAGAAGTCTGACTGGGCAGTGCTTCGTTTTACTGGGCTAATTGCACAAGAGATGCAAAACCGAGGGGAACAAACTGCTTGCAGAGAAGATAGAGGAATCATGGCCTGTTTCTCCTCGTGCTCTGTCCGTGCTGGGATAAACAACCTGGACTGGGCTGGGAGCCGGGAGCCGGGTCCCTCCCGGCTGCCAGCGCCGCGCATGCCCACCAGCTGCTGGTGCCTCTCCCCCTCTCCCTTGGAGCCCCCAGAGGTGCTCCCCAGCCACCTGCCTGACCCGCTGAGGCCGCCTTTGCTGTGCTGCTCATGCATGGCTGGATAAGCTGACCTCATGTATGGTTTTTTTTTTTTTCTCCCCCTTCCTGTCCTTAATTCTAGCAAACCCCGCTCAGAGGCTAAGCATAAGCTGGATAACGGTCTCTCTCCCCGTCTTACAACCCTGCCCTGTCTCTGACCAAGCGGGAGAGAGAATATTGCAGTCTCTAAAAGGGAGGAAGAAAGAAAATGTGGCCCATGGAGCTGAGGCAGACACACTCGGCGTGCTCCACTGGAATCTGTGCGTTAGCGAGAGCTGGAGATGCTGCCTCACGGCTGAAAGCACTAACAGCATCAGTGCTCTGGGAGCAAGCCGCGAATCTGCGCGTCCGGGGGAAGGAAGCGGCTTTGGCCGGTACCTACACGCCTGGGATGCTGTATTGCAGCCGCTCCGAGTCCCCTCTGCCTCTGGTGAGGAAGGATTTTGGCTGAGCCATCCCAGCCCCTTGGCAGACACGATGCCCAGCCCTGGGGTGCTGCGGAACCTGACTGAATTATTCAGCGTCCACCCAGCGTGGCCTCCTTCTCCTGCTTCCAAATGAGCAGACGGGAGGAAAGCAGGCAAGGCAGCGGGTTAAAGCAGGTCAAAGCCTCACCGCTGCCAC